GCAGGACCTGAATAACTACAAAAGGAACCCACAGGAGAAAAGGAACCCACAGCAGGAGGAATGAGGGCCACAACAGTGATCAGTCAAGATGGAGCCAGCAGCAATTTCTGGATTACCTATGTGATAACAGAACTCATATTCTTTCACACCAAACTATCACAAAATTAAAAAAAAAAAAAATTAAAAAACCCAACAACTCAGTTTATGAGATTTCTCATAAAAATCTGTATCTCACCTGTGCACTCTTCAAAAATTCAGCTGGATATGCTCTGATAATGATACACATGAAATAAATTGTGACATGCTTTCCAAGCATTTATCTATCCAAGTTGCAACTGCAGTCCTGGATAGTAGCAGTGGTATCTGCTATAACAGAAATATTATATAGAAGAAAAATATCCGGTAAAAAAAAATGTTACTTTTTTATTTGAAATCTGAGAAATTATTTGTATTGATACTTCACATTGTTGGAGATCGCCAAGAGAAAACCAAATGGGTATTGATGGGCTGCAAAAAAGATTTGAATCCTGTAAGGATCAGGTGCAAAATACAAACTGCAGGTGTAGGGTTCCAAGTTTTTCCTTTAAGTGGTTCAGCCCCAGAGGGAGAAGTTAAACATATTACATGGAAAGAATCAGCAAGATTTAGGAGTATACTGGGTATTCAAACTTACAGAGCAATCAAAAACCTTCGTGGTACAGGCAGTGATGCTGACCTATATGAGATGTGATGGAAGAATTGTCCATGTGGTCATGAAAAGAGGTAGCAGAATGAGTGAATGGGAGATTGGGGAGAGATCTGCTACAACCATGTGGTCCTGAGCATAGCTCAGACAAGAAGCCTCAGATATTTTCCTCACATAATCAGGGTTTTGTAAGTCAGGTCTTGTCATATTTAACAGGATGAATCCTTTTATCTTCCTTCAGGATGATGTTTTCAAAAGGCAGGTCTAGGTTTTGTTTGGGTATCATCAGTTTACTGCAACTATGCCCCAACTGTATTTAGAGTGTGCTTCAGCCACTTTTTATTTTTACTTTTTGATTGCATATTTCTATTTCAGGAGACCTGAAATAGGAAAAAAACCCAGGTGACCATAAAAGACCCTGCCTTAGGTATGTGATACATCCACATATATCTGAAAATTAAGATGTTTGACCTGCAGTCGTTTCAGAATTCCCGGAGCACAGCAGCACGCTGGACTACCAGATTTTACCATCTGTCAGATGTAATTCTCACACTTCATAAGTCTGGCTTTTACACAGTTAATAAATTCCATCCAAATCTCAAAGTGTTTCACACAGCCAGCTGAAGAATACCTCTGATAAGGCGTGCTTGTTCAGCTTTAGCAGACCTCTATGGAATGCCATGCCAGCTTTTCCATTGAAGGAAATAGAGATAATGTTCTTGAACAGTGAATGCTGAAACCAAATGATTAAAAAAGAAGTAAATGTACTGCAAAAGACTAAAAAGGAAATAACTACTGAAACTGAACTAATTTTTAGAGAAAGCTACTTATTTCAGTCAAATAAGTAACATCATTGGTATACCCAGATAAAGCAATGCATCACAGTGGGGAAAAAAGTTTTCTGCATTTTTTGTGCATTTCATCTTTTCCAAAAGAACAAAATCCATGGAACTGCTTTTGGAAAACCACAAGTGGGGCCACCCAGCCAAACAGTACTTCTTGGAATGTGGCACTGTGAGGTGAGAATGTGAGCTTGGGGCATTATCTGTGGCCCCTTTTCCCTATATTCCCTGGTATCCAGAACTGTTCTATTAGGAATGTTAGAGGATAAAAGCTTGCCTAATTTTTACAAAGTCCATATATAAACCTGCTGTACTTGAACTTGTCCCCTTTGAATGTCCTGACACACAGAAATACAGGTGGAACACACTGGTAGTCTTCAAAGAACACTTGTAGATCCTGCTTTGAGCCCACAGATATTGTTTAGAGAACTGACATTCCAGGTTCTATATCCATGCTATATTTCAGGCAACTCTCCTTATTTGTATGTTAGTCTTCTAAGCTTTCCTTTTGACCTTAGGGTTCAGTTCTCCAATCTCTGAGAATATGGATTAACCTAACTGACTTAAAATGTTTTATCTGGAAATGGGATAATCCAGCTAAATTGAAATTAATTCACACAAATGTATCTGACAGAATTCAGCCTGAAGCATGCAATAATGTGCAAAAATAAATAATATTTTTAATAAAACAAAGCAAATTGCTTTATGTGGGAAAGAGAATGTTTGAAAATGTTTCAGCATCTTTGTGTTTCCCATTAGTCTCTCTTGGATCATGGCAAAATATGTAAACTTCAGAGGCCAAAAGTTCTCAGGCTACTTTAACTCTGTGTGAGTCTCTATTCCATGGAGAGTTCATTGTCTCTCTTCTATTCCTGTGTTTGCTCATGGTGTGTTAGAAAGTTTACGAGTCACTGACCAATACTTCTGCTCTGGCATCATAAATTGCCATGGCCTTTTCTGTTCAATGTTTGTGTAAGTAGGTAATGTCAGAATGGCTAAAGAAGGTAGTAAATACCAGTGCTTCAGTAACCAGAAGCTTCACAGATACACTGCGTCAGCTTAGTAAGAAAGAGTTGCAAGTCTCATGAGTAAACAGCTAGAAAATATTTCAACAGAAAGAGCCTAATCTGTTTTGGATTATTTCTGTGAAGAAGCAGTTGCAAGACTGTAATTCTTCCTGAACAGTAACTAATGATCCACATATTACAATAATTATTGAGTTATGGTTTTGTTATTGCAACTTAGCTGAACTGAAAATCTGATAAAGATATTCTTTTATTTTGTATATTCCTAGACACCATATAAAAATAGCAGCAGAGATTCAAATGATTCATTTCTTGTGAACATGCTTTACTGGTATTAATTAAAGGATAAACAAATTGACTTTTAAAATTCAAAAATTCCGAAATAAAATGGAATTCAATATCTAGTACAAAACTTTTCAAAACCTCTGCGTTGATATCACTCTGGCAGTTTAGCTCAGACACAAACATATTGCTGTTTTCCCCTACAAACAAAAAACTTATAAGATTACATAAATGTGTTGGCAAGGGAAGAGTTAATCCTTAGAGAACAAAAGTTTCATCTATAATAATGTTTTGTTTAAACTTCAACTTGTGTATACTCGAAATTTGACTTACACACAAACACAATTCTACACATAAACAGTAAATTACATAAACAGCTCACCCTTTATTAGCCTAATTGACCATTTTATAGGAACAAGCCCAAGTATACAAGTATATACATGTATGTTTGTTTGGCATACACACACATGTGCACAAAAGTGTTCCCCAGATTGCTAATGGAACCTTGTCCCTTAGCGTATCCTAAATCTGTATTTGCTCATTTGAAACCATGGAATTTATCTTCTTTTTATTTTATTTTATTTTAATGTAGCATGTTATGGAGTACACACACAAAAAAAGAAGGAAACTGCTCTCACAGTGCTCCACAGAAGTTTTCATGTCCTCAGCTTCTGAAACATTTAAGAGTATTAACTTGCTGGCAGGCTCCCGAGGAATTCTAAGGCATCTGTGCCTGTGCTACTTATTTTAAGCTCTGTCTTCCAGTGTTACGAAATCAGCAGACTCTTTTGACTTTCTTAGTAATTCCATTTCATGTGGTTCTGGCTTTCAGGCAGATTTAAGAATGACATAATCGCCTTTTCCCACCCACAGGTTTTGCACTGTTGCTGTTGGTTACACTCTTCCAAGTAATGTGCAACACCAATCTTTGTGTGATCCCACATGCCCAGAAATGGAAGTCAGCCCAGCAAAGATGACTAAAGCACAGACTCTTGGCTTTCTATTGATTATGATTTCTATCATGAGTTGAGTAAGACTTCTTCAGGATTTGCCCTGTCAGTTAATATTATTTAGGCCCTAGTGCAGTCAGTTCCTGTCAGTCCAACGTCATGCTGCTTTCAAAGGAAGTAAACTGATTTCTCAATAAACTTTACCCCTGTTACTGAAGGGATAGCAGGTATCTTGAACGCAGTAGCAGAGAATGAACAAACTCAACAAAGTGCTTTTTTTGTATTTTTTTACTGTAGCATTTATGCAAATGCATTCCAAAAATACCAAATTCCTCATTATCATAAAACAAACCCCTAGAACTTGGTTCATATGCACTTACAAGCACTACCGCAATCATAATTTGCATTATTAACAATACTGGATTCAAATACCAAGCTCCACAGCAACAGGATAAACATTATGGAGAAAAAAGCACTTTCTGGAGTTTGTTATGAACATTAGAGAATCAGAAGCAATTTACAGTCCAATCCCACTGTCCAATATCACAAAGCCTCTCCTGACTTACCTGAAGACTTATGAGAGTGATTGCACAGACAAGAAATATAACATGTTAATACAGCATAGAGAGCAAAGCCTCCAGCTATGCATAGTGCAATAATAATGCAGCATTGTAAGATGAGAGCAGCATGCAGAATGCCTTGTCCTAGACACAAATTCAGACTTTCAGAGAAAGAAGTATTTCTTTGCCCTTGGAAAGTCTCCAGAAATTCTACTATTTACAGTTATGCTTTTCATGCTTGGTCAAATTTTCAAGTACTGCACAGCATCATGGCTGTTCAGACCTCTTAAACTCAGGACAACTTAGAGGCCATGGTCCAGATCAGCCTCAGGGCAATTTCTTACAAGTAGGCAATTACATTCCTGTTTTAAGAGTTGGCACTGAACTGCCAGGCAAATAAAAGAGCATATGTCATGCTCAGGGAAACACTAGTCCATGTCCAGAAGAAATTCAGAAGAATGCATCAAGTTATCACCATAAAAATAAACAACCCAACCTGAAAAAGGTAAAAAAATCCTTACTTGCAATTTCCTTCTCCTCTTGGGCAATGAGCCAATTCTGGAAAAAGCAAACAAACAAACAAAAAACACAAACAAAAAACCAGATAAACAAAAAAAAAAACCCCATGCATATCTCCACTTGGCCCTCTACTTTCTCTCACTCCCAGCAGTGTCTGATAATCCATTTGAACAGATATCTTGCAGGAAGAAAACTGAGATAGGCTAGAAAATGAGACAAATTGATCATGATGGCCACCAAAGAGTGAAATTCACTGCAACAGGAATTCCATGTGAAATGGATCTTGAGGATTATTTCTTCCTCTAGACTCTGTTCACAGTGCAAGCCAAATTAACATTTTTGTTTCTGTGAAAAAAATCATCTGGCTGATAAGTTACAACATTTTTAAGAAAGGGATAAGATGAAAGTCCTATAAAATTCTACTTTTCTGCTATTAAAAAGTCTAAGGCACTCTAAAACACGTGCTTTCAAGGCAATAAGTTCTAGTAAGTTTTAACAAATTTATATCTGTTCTTTGCCCACAAAATAAAATAAGATATTACTTAGCTGGCTAAGCTCTTAAAATTTTACAAGGTATTTTTAACTCTGTCTATAATGAGACCTATTTCTTCTAGTAATGCAATCATTGTTAATAGGTTTTCCGACACTAAAGAAAAAAACTGGTTTTGCTGGTTTTAGTGGGATTGTAGGTATTTAAAATGTTAAACTCAGCCATCTATGCTTACAGTGATAAGACATTTTTAATTTCTCATTAACGACATTAAAGAAACACTTTCAGAAATATTTTTAAATCTTATATGTCATATATTTTTTTACTCTACATAAAGACAAGAGTAGCTACAAAAGTATCCAACTTCTTCCATTATCTCATGGCAAGTGGGTGATAGATATTTCTCTAGAAAGATGATAAAGGTCCTTCTAAACAAACAGGTAGAATCAACTGATACTTTATTTCTGGAGGATAGAAATCTGAAGTGCTTATCCAATCTTCTCTAACAAGTTACCTGTAGGAACACTTGGGGCAAGTCATCATCTAGAATCATCGCTCCACAGTGGTCATTCTTAATGGAAAACCAGAGCCTGAACTGCTGTCTAGAGCTGAGCACACAGAATAAACATATCCTGGGTGATGGGTTTAACAACACACATGTTGTTAGTAGGTCTGCTTTTTGATAATTCTCAAAAAATATTGTCAAGAATTTTGTAAAAATAAAACATGTAGCAGCATATTCACAAAAAGCTAAAGTCACTTTTAAAAATAGTGGTAGCAAAGGACAATTCTGTGAGAAATACCCAGTTAATCAATAGACAGAGAATATCAGATTATCTAGCTACACATCAGAACAACTTACATTGAAAATAGTACATTTTACTGAGTGACTCATGATGAATTCAACTCCCTACTGGACAGGTAAAAACTGTATTTGTCAAAATAGTTATTACTGTTGAAGTCATGTTCTCCTTACTCTGCTTTTAAAATTCTTTCTTGTCCAGTGCAAGCACTCCTGCCTTTAAAAGAGCTGAATTTAGTTCTCAGATTTCAAAAGATCAAAATAAAATAAAAAAAGCCTTTGGAAATGTTGGGATCTTAGTATTCCTAATAAAAAGACAAGTTCCTGTGTATATGTTCCAGCAAGAAGACGTGATGACAGTTGTCATCAGTGTATTAAGCTTACACATCTCTGGTCCCATTTAAACTTGTGAGAAAAACTTACACTGACTTGAAAGAGGGAAGTAAGAGTAATCCAGACTAATGTACTGAAAATCCTGTTACTAATCTTCAAAAAGTTTAACAGAAGGAGTGTTCATGGTACCTACATTTTACTGCATATTATTTGTTGTACCATTTGGTTATTTTTCATGACACTGGTGACATAGAAGAGACTTCACTGTGTTAAGCCACAGCTGACATTTAAATGTTGCTTTTAAAACATGTAAGATTCCTTATTTAAAAATAAACTTGAAAGTTTGGAGGAAAAAATTAAATAATTCTATGAATTAAATCAATTTTACTGTCAATTTTTGTCCCATACAGAATTTTTTAAGGACTGTCTCTCAGATGGAAGCAAGACTGTTTCATTCATTCATGGGCAATACTTTGGCTCCATGTGCATTTATATAAGTAAGAAGAATTTTGGATCTCCTTTCTATTACATCAATAAGCTTTTCAATTCCTTTTCTGCCTCCTTGGCTCTCCCAGTATATTTTGTCAAGGAACAAAGACTGGAGCAACTTCTCACGTAAGCGCTGGCTCCTCAGCACTGAAACTGCAGATTCAGGGAATCTGGAAAAGCACAAAGAAATTCATCAGCTTTGCCATTACTCTGAATTGCAATATTTATGTTGTGGTTTAGCAATCAATTCCATGACTGAACACTGAGACTCAGCAAATGAAGTTCCATGCATGCCTAACCATATGCATGTTAACTGTATCTTGTACAGCAGTGGGATCATACATTTTTAGGCACATCCTGTCAATGTCTTGACCAATGATATCTATTCCAGTAACTTAAGAGTCTCATACTGAAACTGGGAAGAAATTATCACTCTTATTACAAAATTATTAACTTAAAACTTACTCATTGATTCCTTGCAGTATTTTGAAGTCAAGATTGTCCTCATTTCTGTCAAAGAAACCCTTATTGTCTATAAAGGCCAAATGCCTTTGGTCATGCCTTCTCTGAACTATGTGTGTCAGGTCAACATCATCCTGATCATTACATTTCAGCTTCAGTCCTTGCTGCATGCAGGAATCCTCCTTGAGAGGTTTGAATCCACAGCAGTTTCTGTCTAGTCGATTATAGATCTAAAACAAAGTACAGCAGAGTGCCAAGTGAAAACAATACCAAAGTACTTGGGGCAAAGTGTCACTGTAAGGCATCACTCACTAACATAGTTGACAGGAAGGCAAGCTCAGGACAAGTATAATTAAAGTCAGCAGTGAAATGGCGTTGAAGACCTAGTCCCCATACCTCATGTGCTGCTAGAAGCAATGTCTCAGACTGTGTATTTTATCCATTTTACAGCCATGATTTGTTATGTCAGTAGAAATTCTTTAAAAATAATGGAACAATACCACTGTGTAACTGAAATAACAGGATGGTGAATACAATTCTTTTTTTTTTTTTTTTCAGAAGGCTGTAGGGGTTTTTTTACATTTTCTCTGTTGGAGAACAATAGAAATAGCAGTCTGACACACAGAGGATCTTCATTGTGTGGGATCTCTTAGACTAACAGTATACAAAATAACTGAAAAGACTAGTAAGGGGCACAGCAAACCATCAGAAGCTATAAAATGCAAGAATGGTGAACTTATAATCATAGAGCAGCACCGTGGAATAAACTTTAATGATATTATGGTTTAGGCTATCTTTTTCCCATGCAAACCCTCTATTATTCATCACACAGCACTTAGCAGGAAGGAATACACACATCTGGTCTAACTTTAGTGGTGTAAATGTTAAGCATCTCTTTTGACTTAGTCATTTCTTTTCCCTTTCATAAACAATGAAGAGAATGAGGCACATCCAGAGCAATGTATGCCATTTTAGGATAATCATCTAATATAGGAAGGATAAATCACTCCTTAAAAGTGCTTCTACCCCTGTTGACTAGATGAGAGTAAATGCTCAACATTGCCAGGGCCCTGAGTGCACAAATCAACATGAATTGCCCTGAGAAGTCCCACCTGGGACTTCCACATACCTCACTTCTGCCCCTGGGCACAGGAACCCCCTTTAAGCTCAGGCCTGGCACCTCAGCCCTCTTCTGAGCCCTTTGAAGCAATGGGTGGTTATCTGCTGCTTGTCCTGCTACCTGATGTTTCTGGGTTGCTGCTCGGTGTTCATGCTTGTTAGTCTTTGAATTGCCTTGCAGCCTTGTCTGTGCCTGATGCTCCCTGGGCTACAAATCAGACCCATGGCTTTCACTATCCAGCCTGCTGGGCTGCCTCTCCTGCTGCTGGCCCTGCCTGTCCTACCTGCCCTAGAGCTGCCCTTGGTTCCAGCTCATCTTCCCGGGGAGCAGAGTTGCCCCTGCTAACAGGTGATTAGAGAGTAGAAGTCTGGTCTGAAGCATCTAAGGATGAATGAGTAGCTTATCGAAGGTAAACCAATTTTCTCTCCTTCTTTCTTGTTTACTGCTAAGTCTTTAGAGTGCTGTAAGCACAGAAGCATTAATGTTCACATAAACCTTCTAAAATTACAACTTTATTTTTGTGACATCCCAGTGAAATGAGCTGTTAGGACTTTTCACCTAATGTAGAACTAGGTTACATGTTGAAATGAAAAGGCCTCCTATTTCATCAAATGAAAGTCTGAGAATTTGTTTGCGTTTGGTTGATTGGGGTTTTTTTATATGTAGCTCTATTGCTAGCAGTATTGCTGACAGTGTTTGTTTTCAAAAGTCAAAATCCCAAGGAAGAGATTTCTCTGTCTCTTTCTCCTTTCATGAGCAGCATTCAACATCTGCAAGTGATAGAGCCTCTCTTGCTTCCAGCGTTTAGCTCTTGGGATCTCTTATTCAACTCATCCAAAGGTAAAAAAAGTGAAATAGAGTAGTTCTAGACATTTGATGTTCCTTTGATGTACAGGCCTATTTTATTTGCACCACGCTTCACTGTGTGCGTTAAATAGACAAGGAGATCATGTTTTACAGACAGCCTCTTCGTAATATCTTCCCTCATTTCAGTGCCATTATGATGGGACACTCTGGAATTGATGCTGCAACCTTAATAGTTTAGCATGTTTTTTGTTATACATCTATGTACATAAGAGGTCCAAACCCCCAAAATTAAAGAAGCAACTTTACATTTATGTCCTTATTTTCCTTGAGTTCTTGCAGAAGGCAAGTAAAGGTCAGTTATAAGCATTTTTCACCCTGCTCCTATGTTTCATAGCATTTTAAACCAGAGATTAGGAACATCTATTATAGGCACCAAACCCATTCTTCTGAGGGAAGTATGTTTAAGATTAAATTTTTCACCATTATTCTTTATTTCTGAATGACTCAAGAAGCACAGATTTTTCTTTCTTTTTTTTTAATTCAGAATCCCTTCTTGGCTTCTTTTCTTTTTTAGAGCCTTCTACTGACAAAAAATTTTAAAGTTAAGCATGAGAGCACCCAGATAAAATTTTGTTTGTAATAACCATAAGGCTTACTTTCACTCACTATCTGGCATGCATGTTCTCGTCTGGTAGGCAACCAGAGGCATAAATCTCTCTGATACCAACTACTAGAACAAGAATAATTTGTTTCTTGTCATGTAAAGTTCAATCCTTTTGTATCTTATTTTAAGATCCAGCTTCTTCTGGATGATAGGAGCTCTATTATGAATATTAAAAACTTTCTTAGAATACCTTAAAATTAGAAATCAACACAGAACTCATGAGATTTTTTTAAACTTTTAAATGAGAATATAATGGTATGAAAACATTAACTCTTATGCAAACTGTACCATTCCTATAGGGGTGTTACTGTTTAGCAACAGACTAATATGACTTTATACCCATTTCTAAGTATTACTTGCTCATAACGGGACTAAAGATGGAGTCATTAGACAAGTGGCAATCTATTTTTGGAGAAGAATTGAATGCTCTGTTTAATGTAACAAATATGCAAAAATATAACTAAAAAAATTGGAGACATGAATTCATTCTGTAACAGGACTGAGAAGAACAGGGATAGGCTATGCACAAGCCAAGTCATGATTTTTAAGTTTCAAGAAATTTAACCCTATTAAAAATTAAATTATGTGAACAACCAAACACAGTGTGTAAAATTAGTGCCTGATGCAGTTTTAAATACACCAGCAAGTGCTGCAGGAGGCTCAGTCAACTGTACCTATTTGGCAGGTAAGTACAACTTAAAGCAGCACCTTATCTCAGGAAGCCATAAAATCGTCTTCCAGATATGGGGTTCAGTTCAGGTCGTGTCAATGCAGGTAGTGTGTTAATATTCTACTACATGATTGCTGTAACTGTAGCCACACACTATACCATTGGGCAGTGCCCTATTTTGGTGTTATTTGGAAAGCTAACGATATTGTGAAGTACTTAAACAAGGAGCAGCAGCTACATCATTCATCAGTTACTGCTCTACTCCTTCCTTGCTAATTCACTGGCTAAGCTTTTTTTAAAAAAAAGGAAAACTAGCAACTACAGCTGTTATCTTGATCCAGATTGCAGCTCACTGAAACCACTTTAGTTACCTCTGAGGGCTGGGGATGTGTAAGAAGGACCACGCAGTAAAAAGAGATTTAAAGTTGTGAACATAGTCAAGATCTCTGTTTGGAAAAAAATGGAATGAAGGAGAAACAGCACGCCTGACTCAAGGTGAAACAAAACAAGTCAAAAGCCTTTGTTTCCTCTTTAAAAAGAAATTTGTCAGTTATGTTCCTGATTTCTTTCCCTGATTATAAACTGCATTTTGGATATTTTAATAATAAGAAAGAACCAGAAACAAATTCAAACTATGCAGATATATCTCTTCCCTATTCAAAAAAAAAAAATGAAATAAACTAAAATTACTTTTTCTAAGAGTCCTATATTTGCTCGCGTGACTTTTGAAGCAGATAGTTGTGTTCAGTAAGTGATTTACCTGCAGAAGAAAATCGAAAAGTGCCATCTTGGACCATTCATGATGGTGGATTTCAGTACAGCCCCACTCAGCTTTGGGAATTTTACCATTCTGCCAGCATTTCTGCTTCAACAGCTGCTGATATCGTCCCCATGTTAACCTCACTGAAGAATGGGTACTATTATCTGTTGGACTCAGTGAGGAATCCCAGAGAATAACAGGACAAGCTTGACCGCCTGAAAAAGGAAAGAACATCATTAGTATAGTGCAGTACTGTCAGTCTTATTTGACTTTTCTTTAGACATTTTACAGATCTGGCAGGAAAAACAGCCAGGGACTAATAACTTGACATCCTTTGGTTAATGTGGTCTTATTCTACATCTAACACCAGCCAACACAGGATCAAAAGCATAGGCATAAATGCCTTCAGAGGAGAGAAGGCTTTACCTGTTTGAAGCAAGAGATTAATGTACAGAATCATATACTAAACCCAACTGTTACAAAGTTTCTAGGTAAATTAAGAGCCTACAATGCCACTGTGAATCAACAGTGTAATTTCCCTCTGATTCCACTGAACTGCTAATTTACTAGAGCTGAAAACTTATGTCAAAGGGGTTTCTTTCCCCATAATGGATATAGAAACACCACAAATACTAGACTCAAAGTGTGTTTATTTTATTATCTTTAGTATTTTAGACCTATAGTTTATGACTTTGGAGCTCTGAAAAGATTTATGAGAATACTAGAGAGTGTGAGTTTAGCATGAATAAACACCTTGACAAGTTTGAGTTTTTTACCCAGAGATATGTTTTGTATTGCAGATATTTCAGCCAAATTCTTTAGTTCCTCTGTGTAAAGAATATTCTGCTCTTCCTTGAAACAGAGACAAGGGACTTCTCTTTGGTGAATTCAGGTGTTCAGAATTCTCAGTGAGAAGAAACCTCATCAAAGAATTCAAAATGAGCTTTCTCAGTATAAGAACTGGCAAATATATTTCATGAAATATCAACTAAAAGACATATCTATCTTCTTGGGAAAGTGGAACTCTCCTTTTATTAATGATGCAATGCTACTGCTGCCTTAAACTGTCAAGGACTCACAACTGACTGTGGCTTGTACACACATCAAAACAAAGAAATCCTTTACATTTTTGGGTGTAAAGACCAAAAAAAGTCTTGGTATAGAGAGTAAGAACCATTTATCTCCAAAGCTGCTGTTTACTAAATAACAAGTGTTAAAACACATATAAAGCTTTAAAAATTATTCATATTCATCTTGAAGGTCAATGAACATAAAGCCTACACTACTGCACAATTTATTGCATAGTTAAAGGCAGCCTAAGCTGTCTCTTTATCTACCACATGCCCATGGAGATAGAGATAGATCTGAAAAAAAGCTTTCAGAAACTCACAGGGAGGCAAAAGGTCCAGGGCACCTTCTCTAGAAGCAAACCAGACAGAGAACAGCACATGGAAAGCAGGTATCAAAGCCAACACCAAGGTAAAAGCTGCTGATGTGAATGCTCCACCTGTCAGCATCCTTTAAACAAGTTGCTTTTTGATTCAGCTGTACAGAGATAGTTTTTCACAGTCCTGGCTGGTCTAAAACAACATTTGACAAACTATCTTTGCCCACACCTAGCACTGAAACATATGTAAAGTTCCATCTCGTGTTCACTGAAAAACACAACAGGCCCTGCATGCAATCGAGCCCAAGAGAAAAACTAATTCCTTTCCAAAACCAAAATGTACTTGATCTTCTCTATGCCATGGCTTGCACATACAAGGTAGTCCTTCCCAAGACAAGCCAACCCAAACTGACACGCAGTTTCACCACCTCTTTAACTTCCCTCCCAGTTGTTCAGTGTTTTCTAAGAAACCCAGAGCATGTTCTTCCATTAGAAACATCAATCTCTCTTTCATTAATAGTATTACCTTAAACAGCACCATGCTCCACACTATTTCCTCCGCTGAAAACAAGTGTTGAGCACTCCTGAAAATCAGGCTTGCGCTCCACTGAGGTTCCTGAATAAGTATTTAGGTAACTTATTTGAGAAATCCTACACATTTCTCCATCTCTCTTGCTCTGGCTCCACCACCTACATTGCAGATGACTTTAGCCAAGTTAGGTCAACTATTGGCCAGGTTTCTTTTCCCAGACAGTTGGAGAAAGTCTATATAAGCATTGGAAATTGTCACAATAAAAGGATTGCTTTTTTCAGGACCAAGTTTGATCTATTATTTTTATGTCTCCAGTAACAGCTTATGTAACTATTCATGAATTTTTCCAGAAACCAAATACATAAACAGTCTTCTACCAAAACAAACATCTCCTGTCTACCCAAAAAGTACATGATAAACAATAGTAATATAAATACTTGAATAATAATAATAATATCTTGCCAGTTTCCATTAGGATACAAAAACATATTTTAAAAACTGAGGTTAAATGCAGGAAATGTTTGCATTTCAGAGGAAATGGGAGCAGAAAAGATGAGCCAAAATAAAATCTTTCAACTCTCTGATATAAATTGAATTACAGGAATATGAAACAGCAGCTTCAGTAAAGAGCTGTGACTCAGGTTTTTGACAGTTGCAGGAAAAACATTAAGATGCTGAATCAAAGTGGATAAGGGGTCTGATTCACAGCTGCACGAATTGGCATGACCACAATGAAATAAGTGGAGCTCTTCCGATTCAAACCTCATGAGGATGGGGCTAAAGTTACCTGAATATTGAAGAGACCAACTGCCAAAACTGGAAGGTTGAGTACACTTCAGAATAAGTCCAGTGTATTCTGTATGTACTTCTTTCCTAGTCAGCTTTATATATTAACACCAAGGGCTGCTGCTCTTCTTTTGCTGCAGCTGTATTGCACTGAATCTCCCCCAAAGCTCATTGGCTTCATTTTACTTTCATGATTTTGGGCATATGCAAGCAGTCATTGTAACCATCTATGTAACCATACAAAGGCAACCTGCAAAAATTTTATGGGAAAAATTTTTCAGAACTCATATTGAAGCCAGATTCCTAGTAATTCATACGTATCTTTGAATAGTAAAATATTTCTAAAATGTCTTATCTAAGTTGAATAAGCTAACACAGATGAAACCTCAGGCTAGACTACCTCAAGGTACTCAAACTGCTTCACGTGCAGCTAAGTAATGTATCACTGCATGTCTTCTTCAACATAGGCATCATCTTAGATATCCACATCCCACATCACTTCAAAAACAGTCTGCATTCTTCTTAACCACATTTGGTTAAGAACCACATTTTGCTCTTGCAAATGTAACTCTCACCTTGTGCTCTAACTTGCAGCTACAGCATTTTTTTGAACTTTCTTAAAAGAAAATATTTTCAAACATGCCCAGAACAGCAACACTAAACCAGAAAACCGTTCATGAGGTAGCTAAAGCCCTTTCTCAAACTCGTCACTGTTCACTGTAAGGCAGTAGAGCTTACCACTGCCACATTTGCAAGGAGAAGTTTAGTTGCCCACAGATCTGAAGGAGAGGGCAATTTAATGTAGACAATGGCAGGGACTGACATACAGATCATTACTTGATTTTTAAAGTTTAAATTCTGAGGGGGGCCAAAGCAGAAAGTAGACAGAATTTAGACTATTTATTTTTCTTTATTCCCTGCACACCTCGTTGCAATGTTTTTGTCCTGTGCTCATATAGATGTCACTATTAAGGAATGCATGAAATGTGCATTTGTTGCTCTCTAGACTATGGACTGCATTGTCACTTATTCATGAACTTCTCTACCCAACACAATATCGGAATTATTCTCTTACCCCTCTGAGAGGTACAGCACTATAGGGAAATATTTTAGAGCACCCTGCATGCATATAGCAGTGCTGGGTTGGGGTTTTATTCTTTGCCCTGACATTAGTGATTCATAATATCTTTGCCTGCTTTTGCATAACTTTTGATGGGATGGCAAGGACAGTCTGATAACACAGGGTATAACAAGGAAAAGCTTATGGCTCCATTTATCATCATGTAGAGGCCAGTAAAGTAAAATGACAAGTGCAACCAGTGGAGCTATCTATCACATCATTCAGCTATTTGCACTAAACCATGCAAACATGAAAGGTGTCACTCAAATGAAGAATTTCTTGCATGTTTGGGGGTGACATAAAAAGAGAGGTTCTGGACAAATAGTGGGTTCAATCTTGAGCTAAAAAAAAAAAAAAATTAGCTGAATTGAGTACACCTGTTTCTGTTCTTTTCAATATAGTATAAAACATATTTAACCAAACTTAGGATATCAGAAAGACAAAGGGTTAGAGATGTAGTTGGCAGCATGCAGTAGTTCAGTCCCTCAGCAGGTGCTGCAACAAAACTGCATAGCGATAATTTTATATATTGTACCAAAAGCCGAATAAAGAGCTCAGCCTTGTTGCTATGATCCAAGGAACCAGAGTATTATCCTTACAGCTGTCAGCTGCAACAGAAAAGCAAGCCTGCTCCAGCTCATGATAGTCCTGTTGTAGCTGAAGCCCTAACAAACACTGCCATCATCCTACCCTGAAAATTCAATTGCTGAGCTAGAGGCAACACATGCAGTCATTCTACTTAGCTTCTGGGCAAAGGTAATTAAGGTAGGGCTGTGACACCAAGCAAGGTCCCTTATGTCTCCTCTGTTCCTCAGGTTAGGGTTATGAAATAATAAAGATTTTCATTACTGTGGTAATAATGTGACCATCCCAAAACTCAAGACACATAAGGTTCAGCCTCCACTGTCTCCAATAGACACAATTTTATGATTATTTCTTTTTGTTTTACAGGCTTGTCCTTCTTTGTTTATAGATGTTTTGGTGCTCTTGACGTTTTTCACAACTTGTAGGTAGCAATGGGAGGAAAGAATGACTGCTTGCATATGCCCAAAATCATGCTCTTTTAGACTGTTATGCTAAACTCAAAAGGGCTTTTCCTACCTGTACTCCTCAGGCTTTTTATATTCAGTAAATGCACTGCAAAAATATGATAGAGTTATCACACCTGATTTTTCCCTCCATGATAGAAAAATTAGACAAACCATAAAAGCATTCAGTGAACACTTAAAAGCTTTGACAATCAAGTATGGTAGGTGAGGGTAGCAGACAGGGGACTTGAGTACAGTGTTTTGCTAGACTTTAGAAAAAAAATCAGTGGCAGATTTATGGGAATAAGGGAGACAGAACCTGCACAGGGATTTACTAAGCAGTTCTTTGAAACTGCTTTTGACAAAATGAATGACAGTTTTGAAAAGCCCATTTTTTAAGATTTTAATGCTACATCAAACATGTCTTGTTAGATCACATCGCAACTGAGGCACGCAAAAGGGATGTGTCGGGGAGAGAAATATGTCAGCCCAGAAATAGCGCACACTTATACGCTCATGCAGAGTCTTTAATCCTGCATTACTTGCTTTACCATGTGAATAACCATTTTACACAAGCTACCCTGTAAAAAACTTTAAAAATGCCCACCTAATCTTAACTGAAATGCATATGGGTCATAGAAGTGAGCTAATTGTTCATATTATTTTTAAAAATATATTTTTGCTCATTTGCTCAACATAGATGTTCTCAGACTATACCCAGCACAAGCACATCAGTAGTCAAGAAAGAGCTCAAGTAGTTATTAGGCATATGAGCTGCAGCATATTTCCAGGCTAAAGAAATGGTGAGAGAAAAGGTACAATCACTGTTCCAAATGCTCTGTTCAGCTTTTAGCTGGAAAAAATGAAGTGAGACCAAAATAAGGTTGTTTCTCTTCTCATCACCTAGCAACACTCCTCTTGCAATAGGAACATTGCCAGTTATGAGGAAGAGAAAACTAAAGAGGGCAGAACGATACAATCTGTCACAGACATTCCAAAACATACCGTAAGGTGACAGACACTGAGCAACACAATTCGCAATTAGCCTAATAGCAGTTTTCTGAGCTTTGCAGTCTGTCATCTCCACAGCCACACTACGCAGAGTTCCTCCAACCGAGCTACCTTAATGCCTTAGGACAGCTCTATAGCAATAGATGGTGTTCCTAAAAATAAAATAGGCATAATGTATCTTCCATGCTCTGCAACTATGAATAATATTCAGAAGCCCCTTAACTGTTGTTCCTAGAGATTCATTCACATTGTTGTACAGCCTGCCAAAGGGAACTTTTACAAAGCAGGAAGAAACTGGACATCACTGGGTTGTCTTCCTTCTGACAGACTTTACAAAGTCACTCTTGCGTTACTTTTCTTTTTTAAAAAAATGCAGACTGATATAAAAGTAGTTGGTATAAGCTAATTTCAGCAGCAAGAAATGAACAGCAAAAACATAGCTAACTACTTTTGCAATGATTCATTAAAATGCAACATAGTCCTTTTGGATTGTGATTTGCGACTGTACAGAAATAGCAGTTATGCTGAAGACATATTTAAGAAGGTAGCAATGTTAAAAGTAGACTTCTAACTGACATTACATGTCTGAAACTTACCTTTAATTTCACTAAAGGTTAAAAATCAAAATTTTAATTGAAAACTCTATGCCAATCATGTAACAGTCATATTGAGATATTTACTGTATAGGTTTCTTTGGATAATATATAAATGTGTGTAGTTTGTTTGATTTTTAACTACCAGAGGAGGGGGAAGCACTTTTTAAAAAATTTTCAGTTCCCAAGGGGATTAGTACCATGGAAGTAGATTCAAGCTTCTGCAGGAAAGTTCCCCACCTGTCTGAGTAGATTATCTGCCTAAATACAAACCCCCTTTCCTACAACCTGACAGACAAATTTTCATGCCCAGTTTCAACAGTATTTTATTGAAATCAATTCTAAAAGATGAGAAAACTTTTTTAAAAAAAAAAACATTGGAAATACCCATTGAATCACAGAGTATTCTGGAACTTCTTTCACCAGTTTCATTTCAGGCAGTCTCTACAATGTCATGCAACCTACGGATTACACTCTCTCTTTTTTCTCATTCCAGATACTCATGTAAGAGAAACTGTTACTGCTCTCAGCAACTCAATGGTATTTGACCTAAACTTTGGAGTACTGCATCCTTTGGACAGGATAACTGCACTGCAGAAGTTATACCAGCTTTATTTCCCTGTAAAAATAGGTTTAGCTCTCGGGCTCGCAGGAGTTAAAGGTGGTGGCTGGGTGCTGTCCTATGGCTAATGCAGGAGGGGAAAGAAAACCTCTGCACCCCACCTGCAAGCTGAAAACCACAGGAATGTGTTACCTTGGAAGAATTCTGATCTCCTGCTTACAGAAGGTAAGCTCCTGTTTAGCCCCAATATCCTATCCAAATGAAAGGCAAACACCTCACTCATGTCGAGGGGTCTTTTGACAATCCCGCAGCGTCCTTGATCACAAGCAGTTCCTGTGGTGCCGGGACCTCCTGCGAACACTACCAGGACTGCATTGTGTGAAGGTACTTCTTGGATGCTCTCTATCGGAGAATCTGCCAGCATTCGCATGCTTAAGATGTCATTTTTGCTCATCCACGAGGGAGAGCTCTCACTGTAAATCCTGATATTGCTTTCCTCAGGCTGGGACTGTGCCCTCACAGCTCCAGAAATCGTCCCAGGTCTCCGGTGACCCCTCTCTCCGACTGCCATTCCTTTATGTCTGTGTTCATCCAGCTGGTACTTTCTCGCTTCCAGAGCTACTGCTGCTCCCACTGTGCCTGTGGCATGCACGGTCCTCCCTGGCTGTTGGGCAAAGGCCTCTTCCAGGCCCGTAAAAGTGGCTTTTGGAAAATGTTGCCCATAGGACAAAGGCACTGCATTTTTCTTCCTGCGCTTTGGCTTCACTGTGCCTCTGATATTGGCAGGCTTGCTGCGCTTGGACCGCAGGGTGATATAAACTACATTGGGTGGCAGCAAGGTCCCATTGCTACCCAGCTGGGGTTCCTGGAAATTGGGTGGTGACAGGGTGCCATCCAGTGGGATGCCCAGAAAAGGAGTTTGGGCTGCATCTTGGAGACTTCTGGAACTGATCTTCTGATGTCCTCCTTTGTGCTGGGGTAAAACATGACCAACCTGACTGACAAGGAATCCCAGGTAGATCACACAGGCGGTTCCCACAAGCAGATTCCTCCTTGTCCTTGGGCGCCTGCAAGTCCAGAGCCTCAACACCCGTGAAGGGCAAAAGCAGCAAATAAATAAGTTTTTGATTTTACTTGGCTGATCAAAGGCGGTCATTTCTCTAGTGAATCCACATGATGAAAACAGCATAAAGTCTTCTGTATATTACATCCAGGATGATGATGCATGATTTCCCTTCCCCAATTTCTATTTCTTGTTTTCCAAGTAGCTTTCAGCATGGGTGATGGACAGAGGCTACTGATATGCCTGGGAAAGTGGTTAGCACTGAGGATGCTGACACTCCACCTTCTCAAGCTGTTAAATTCTTATCAGCCACCACAGGGAAAGTGATTGGTTTCAGGGAATGAATGGAGCCAGCTGCGTAAGCAAAGTTTACTGACTTGTAGTCTAAAAGATCTGATGTATCTCCTTTACAAACTGCAAAAAAAAAACAGTAATATTTCATTTCAGTACTCACATATGGCATCTGTAGTTCTATGTTTTCCAGGAAAAAGAGTTCCAGACGAGACAGTATGTATGTAGAAATTTGTCAAGATACATCTTTCACTTTCTCATTACAGTATAAATTAAACACCAAAATCATTAAATACAGGTTCAATTTGCAATCTCAGCTGGCTGGCTGTATTACAGCATTAGAAGAAAAGCTTGTCAAACCCAGATCATTATCTTTTTCTTATGAGACAAAGTTTTCACTAAACCTCAGGTTATGGAAATGCTGTAAATTAGCCAAACATTAACCACTAGTAACTGTAGTAGTTAAGTATGCACATATTCATTAATATAAAAATATATTATCATTGCCAAATTTCCCTAGTGGACACGAATATAGTTCACATAATTCATAAACACACATTAAAAATGAAAGATGGTTAACTCTCTTCACACTTGTGAAGCTATAAAAAGTATCTAGCTGTAGTTTTTAAATGAAATTACATTGGCTTATACCTCTTTCCAAAGAAACAAAGATAGAATAAGTGCACATTGTTTATATATTGCTTTAAAAATAAAATTTCTTACCTATTCAGCTTGACACATCCTTTGTTCTGGTAAACTCCTTAGGTCAATAAAAGTAACTGAGCTGGTGTCTAGCACATATTTCAGTTTCAAGTATGGTTCACATTTAGGTATTTCATTGCAGGCTAAGTACCATTTGGAAGCTAACTTTACTGAGAGGTGGTTTGCATATGAACTGCTATAAACTTGCATGAACCTCACGTTATTAAAAAAAAAAAAAAACACACACACACACACAAATCCACAGCAACTTCTATTTTAAATTCTGCAATGAAAAGTCCTGTGAAGTATATGCCTTCCAAAAGTGCATTCCATCCATTTCTAACTCCTGAGGGCCCTCTAGTGCACTGCATGCAAATGTACTGAAGAAATTCTCTCTTCCACGTTAAGGTTTGTTTACTGAGTTTTTCAATTTAACATACCCCCGTCCTCTGAATTTTAGAACTTTTGGGAATCATATAGTCTTGTGATGAGAAATTAAAAACAATAGGGACTTTTTAAATTCTATTAATATGCTACTAAACAGCTCATCGGTGTTTCCTATTTGTGCTTTCCAAAGTGGGGCATAGCATAATCACTACACAGCTGGGAAAGTTGAGGCAGACACAAGTTAAGAGCCTGTGCACCCTTAAGCAGTGAGACACTGGTAAAGCTCTGACTTCTCTCTCCTTGCCTAGTCAAAGTACAAAATAATAAAATGTATATGTTCACTGTAATTCAAGCTAATGGATATAATCTCTTCTCCTTAGTTAATACTAAAGAGGAATAGACAATTAGTTTATGTTTCAGATTGGTCCAATCTGAATTTATAATACTTTGTAAGTGGATTTTTTCACAAGCCATCGCTTTTCTTTACATTTTTGTCTAAATATGTACTATCGAGTTAAAATTTCAGCATCCATGCCATTATCAGTAAAAGAGCCTTCATATCACCTATTTTTTCTAAATCTGAATTTCTGGAGGAATTGGGGCTATAAGAAATCTCTCCATCCACTTCAGTTCTTCTACCTTTTTTTATTTTTTAGTTCAAACCTGACTGACGGGACGTATCCCGAGCAAAGAAGATTAATTCAAAAAGCTCCAGACAAGTTGCTTAAGTTTGAAATGCATCACATTGCAACAGTTGTTTCCAAATGCCCAGTTCCTGCACGTACTCAGCACCGTGGCCTGTCCATTACAACCAAGCAGCGCCAAAACACGGTACATTCCAGTTACTAACAGCTTTCCTATGCTATAACATTTCTCCTAAATTGAAATTCTGGAATCTGTAAAATCTTCCTACTGCAATTCTTTAAAGATTATCTGGACAAAATTATAAACAGATATGGAGAATTGCTCTTCCTTCCTCATTTCATTTGCAACTTTGAAATCATAACATGGTGTAAGCACTGATGTACAGAGTTGACTGTGAGGGGTTTTTAAAGGATTTCTAAATGTGATGATAGTATTTCCTTTATTTCTCCTGTCCAGAAGAGAAAACTCATGCACCAGTACATTCTTTGGAATGGATGGTGGTAGAAATGTAATGAAATAGAATACAGGATCCTGTTAATTTAGCAGATATTTGCTCTAATTCTGGACATTTGAAGGGTAAAATATAAGTGACTTTTTTTTGGGTTTTTGTGGTGTACAGCTCCAGCACCCTACTAGATACCACAGAATAATTAAGGCTAGAATGACTATGTAGTTGTTAGTAAACAAACATTTCTTCATGTTTCAGGAGAAACAAAAAAAATGTTCATTGTTCAGGTGGGTCGTATTTTTTCTGGAATTATTCTAGATCAAAGCTGGAATAAGGCAGTAAAGAGCACTACTGAGCTAAACCAGTACTTCCTCTGCGGTAATAAAATATGCAAAACAAATTTTTAGAAAGAATAGAGTGAACACGGTTATTGTCTGACCAAATTCCAGCCCATGTTATTTCACTTTGCCTACCTATATTTAGCCGGTATGTCCACTAGATTCTGTACTTGTTCCTTGCTCTAAACTATATGAGATACCGTCATCTGCATCTGATAAACTCAGCTTTTTATGTAATTTCTTCATATACCCATATTTTACGGTCAGGAACACAGGAATATAAGAATTAATATAGGAAAATAGCAATAGATGTCCTAGGTATAGTTTGCAAACGTAAATGAATAAATGAACTGAATATTTGCAATTATTTTCTACCTCTCTCCCTTTTTTTGTTTTATTTTTTGGTTTGGTTTTGGTTGAACCTCAGAAATTCATCTCCACCTATACCTGCATTTGTAGAGGAAACCAGCTCAACCTGTTTAGATGGGAAGAACTGTGACCCAGGGTGCTGCTGATCGTGCTGGACAAGCTACAGACTCTGAAACAGCTGGTGGCCTGCACTGCTGCCAGTCTTCCTAGCTGACAGTCTATGGCCAATCTGCAGGAGACAGGTGGACTGTATCAATGATCACCAGGCGCAAGCTCCTGCATCTTGACTTGTCTTTATTCCTAGATACCTGAAAGGATGTAGTTACAGGCTAGGCTCCTTAATGTGCTTTTGCTTTCTATATGCAGGCAATTCAATATAAAAGATTAATACTGTTCTTAATACTTTTCTTCTAAATAAAATAATGCAACACATATACTTGCACTGCCTCTAGAATTTTTTTTTTCCAGGCTACATTTGTTCCTCTTGGATGCACTATAGCTAAACTGTTTCCATAGACACATTCTGCAGTTCATCTCTAAATGATACATGTACAGACATTTATGTTAAAGTGATTGATAAATGGTGCATTCCTAGCTTTACTGAATCCAAGGGAATGAGAGCTTATTCTCCAAAGAGAAAAACATAAACTCTTATTATGGAAAATGCAGATTTGATTTGCAAAATATGAAGCTTTACTTTAGAAGGCTCGTGCTGTGTTTGTAAGGAGATAATTTGGGCTGCCATCTGGTAACTGTACTTCAACAGTACAGAGAGAAATGTTTGCTTCGTGACTAAACATGCTGACTAATAGTCTGTGCTCTAGCTAGTTTGGATCAAATCCTTACAGGGAAATCTGCAAGAATCTCTTCTTGACAGCATATAAAAGGTTTTTTTCCCTACTTTATTTTGGTTGCCAAACAACAAAGGGGCTTCCAGAGCAACTGGTGGTAATTTCTGCGCTTAAGAAAAAAACCTTGGATGCTCTGACCAGCCTGGGGGCTTTCCTTGACTTGCTGTGCACCACAGGGCCAGAGACTGCTGCATGGCCTGGAAATGTCCCTGCCTTCCCTGATATGCCTGCCCCTCTCAGCAGGTGCCTGTGACCCCCCAGCCCCGTGGAAGCCCCCCAGCAGTCAGGGAGGTCTCGGGAGCAAGAGAGGAGTTTTAAGGAGATCATGCTATCCCCTTTGAGAACAGTCCCATCTTTGAACCACGGCTGGGTTGCTGGGCAAGTGCTGCTAAAACTTGGGCACATTTTCTGAAGCACAGATCTTCAGCGCAGCAGCTGAAGGAGGAGCTGGGGTTGTTTAGCCTGGAGTGGAGGGGCTCATAGGTGACCTTATCGTTCTCTACAACCACCTGAAAGGAGGCTGTAGCCAGGTGGGGGTCAGTCTCTTTTCCGAGTCAACTAGGGACAGGATGAGAGGGCATAGCTTTAAGCTGCAAGAGAGGAGGTTTAGGTTGGACATTAGAAAGAATCTTTTCTCAGAAAGGGTGCTTAGACATTGGAACGGGCTGCCCAGGGAGATTGTGGAGTCACTGTCCCTGAAGTTAAGAAAAGACTGGATGTGGCACTCAGTGCCACGGTCTACTTGACACAGTGGTGTTTTCATGGGTTGGACTCGACGATCTCAGAGGTCTTTTCCAACCTGAGTTTGTGACTCTTTCTCGCGCAGTTACAGCACAGCATCGGCCTGTGAAGCACACGGGTGCACTTTCACGGAGGGAACCGTCTCATCGGCTGTCGATGAGACAGGCCGGGAGGGACAAGGGCGCTTTTGTCACAACGTCGGTGCCTTTATTTAAGGTTCCTCTTAGTGTCTGTCCTCCGCTAGACGGGAAGTCGACGCCCCAGCAAATCCCCTCTACCATGGCAGCAAAGGAAAGTCGGGCGAGAACCAACACCCTACCCCCCTCCTCCCCGCGCTCCTGGCCGGCGGGGCGGCTGAGGATTGGGCACGGATAGGGGAGGATGGAGGCGGGCGGGGAGGATGGAGGCGGGCGGGGACGGGCCGAGGCGCGGGGCGGTGCCGGCGCGGGTGGGAGTCACGGGGATCGGTGGCGAGGCCTGTGCGCGGGCCCGGCGGTAGCGTGGTGGGGGCGGGCGCGGAGGGGCGCGGGCGGCGGGAGCTGGGGCCGCACGGAGCGCCCTGGCGGGGGATCTGCCGGTGCGGGCTCGTCCGCGGCCGCCTTCCGTCCCGCAGCGGAAAGCCGTAAAACTGGCCGCGGCGGTAAGCCGGGCACGGGGCGCTAGGGGACGGACGGAAGGCGTCCGGCTGGAGCCGGCCCTCGAGTGTCCCCGCGGGGTTCGGGGCCGAGCAGCCGTGTCCGGCGGAGACAGCCGGGCCCAGGGCCGGGCCCGCCCCGCCGCTGCCCTGGCGCGGCGGCGTCAGTGCAGCCACACTGGTGCAGAGCGCTCAGCCGAGCGACTTCCGTGTTCCGTGATAACACTTTCTGAAAACAGTGCCTGAAGAACGTCTTTTAAAAAGCGTTCGTGTCGGGGAAGTGAACACGCACTCCCTGAGCAACTTTTAGTCATGAGTTGCGGTGTCACCTGGGGACGTTGTTCTGGGCCACGTTAAGACTGGTAGCAGTCTCCTAAATTCGGGAGTGGGAAGTATCTATTCTTAATGGCAAGTAGATGATAGGAGAAATGGGCAAATAAACAGTCAGTGTGGCATGCAGCCTCTAAAATTACCCGTTCCTTTAGCGCAAACAGTTTATTTGGGATCTTAGCAGCTCAGGTCTCCTTAGGGATGAAAGCTCCCAAAGGCAGGCTTCTTAATTTCATGCCTGTCTGTGGAAACTGGAGCAATGTGTTGCTGTTGCATTAAGTGAACATCATAATTTGTTTTGTCTCTGCGAAGGATGAAAATGGTGGCAAATTTCTGAGGAAACAGTGAAAATACAGAGCACAGCATTCCAGTGAGGTGAACCAGTGAAGTTAGTAGGATAAGAGGAATATGTGCCAACAAAAACCCATTGTATTTCTTGTGCAGTTTGGGAACCCTGAAGTGACCTTCAGTAAGGGCTACTTAGGGGGGAAAAAAAGCCTTCAATGACAGTAACAATTCCAGTTTTTCTCCCTGATTTTCAGACACAACAACTATGCTCTAATGTGGCAGCTTCAGCAAGTGATTCTGGTCTGGCATTTGGTATCTGTAATGGAGGCATATAAGCAAGTCCATCTGGCAATAACGAGATTGAAGAGAAGAATCTTTTAGGGAACTTTCTGAAGTTCTGTATGTGCAAAAAGTATAGTCAACTTAATGCTGTGTGCCAGTTCCTTATTTGCTCTTAACATTGGATCATACAATAGGAGAATTATTTAGCTTGGAAGGAACCTCTGGAGATCATCTGGTTCAACTCCTTCTTCAAGCAGTGCTGCCGTTGAAGTTAGAGAAGGTTCCTCCACACCTTGTCTCACTGAGCTTTCTCTTGAAGGATTTAAAATTGAGTTGAGAGTTGGGTTTGAAATTTAGCCAAATTTGGAACGAAGTGTCCCAAACTTTGGAAAGTAACAGAGTTTTAAGCAGTCCAAATGAAGCATACTCTTCCTTAGTTAAGTGGAGTTGTCTTTCTGTTTTTGGTATTACAATTCTGGTTCTTCAACTGTGCAACAATCTTCAATATGCGCAATACAGAGATTTTTTGAAGATACAAAGCAAGCAGAAAAGTGTATTGCCCTGCAGCACACAGATTTTCTTTTAGTAGATACAAAACTGAAATATTTTTAAGGTAACAATTTTCTGTACAAAATCAGACAGATAAACTACTTCAAATTTGAAAGGTTCGTAGTATCTTACCTGCGTAATGACTCATTTATTTAAAGGCAAAGGGTGTGATTCTTGCATTCACAGAGGTGCAGTGTAATCAGCTTTATTTCTGTGTCCTTAACAGCATGGTGGTCTTTATGTGCAAAACCCAGCTCTTGTGTCATAGTTGTCCAATGAATAAATGTATTCACTCGGTGAGTTGAGGTTGACGGAATGAAGGTAGCTGATGCCAGCCTTTATCAATGTTGATTTCTTCTTGCCATGTCACAGTGTATCCTGTGAAGTTGAGTTTTTGAAGAAATCTCAAAATTATTATTTGCACTGTTCAGTGTCTACAGGTCCTGGGTAAAACACACTTCATAGAAGTCTTAAATACAGTTCCTGGAGAAGCTTAGCTGCTAAGCAGGAAAGAAAGATGAGGAGGGAGAAAAATTTAATATAAATTGAGACAGCTGTGCCATTGTACCTTCATGATGAGTCTTTTAAGTGTCATCTGTGTTTTTCTTAAGTTAGAGCTATACTGATATCTTTTGAGGGGGGGAAATTACAGAAGTTAAATGGTTATATAGTTACGGAATTGAGCTTTTCATCTGCTAATACAAATAATTAATTTCAGCAAGCACTGATGGCCCTGTTGAAGCTGCAGATAGAAGCATAACATCAGCAGATACAGTTCTTGGTGTCCTAAGGACTGTGGAGAAGGTAAGACCGGAGGGTAAAATAAGATGAAGGAATGTTCAGCAGCTCAGCTCTCATTTTGTGCAGAGTGTGTAGTCACAGCATCTCTTGCAAGACTTGGCAAAATTTCCACCATCCTATTTCAGCTTTTTTTCTCCAGGCTAGTCCACCTATGCTGGGGAATGGCAAACTGCATTGGGATGTCATTTGATTCAGTATAAATAGCATGACTTCAACAAGAGTATTGGATGAATATCACTATAGCAATATATTAAGTATCCTCTTACCATTTGAAGCTAAATTTCCAAACACTTTTCCTACATGTAGTCTTTCAAATGTGGTGTTAAGATTATGTCTACAAAGTTCACATAATTATGTTTGTCCTCAGAGACACCTTTTCTGTCAAAGTTATAATCCTTTTCATAATCATATCAAAAGTGTGTATGTGGCACATCTGTTGAGTGTAACCTCAAGATGAATCTCCCACTTAAAATAAAAAAAGAGGGAAGTATTATGGGATTAAAAATATCTTTGCCTTTATGTTTATGTGGAATGAATGAAGAAACTTTGGAGTCAGCTTCTCCCTTTGTTCCCAATAGAAAAAATGAACCTTTCATGGTTTTATCAGTTAGAGCAATCCCTGCAGTTGCCTTATAATCTTGTGTTGATCCCACTGTGACATCTATGGAATCTCTGTAACTGTTCCTGACTTCTAGCTAGTGGGTCTGCAGATTGCTGTCGCTTCTTCTGCCAGTTAAGATTTTGTCTAATTACAGCTTTTTTATGCATCCCAGTATGGCCTCCCCTTTTGCTACAGGAATAAGGACTAGTCTGATAGAACATCTCACTAAAGCATCAGGGCTTCCCATGGATTCAAGTCCTCATAACCTTTGAGTGCACCTCTACATTCACTTGTTATGTGTTCAGACATGTTTTTCTGTGAAGCTGATTATGAAACAATAGTGATTTCTTTTTTTTTTTGTGCATCTGTTCTTAAATCGCTTTATTCGTATTTTATGACAGCTTCTCATCTGATGAGATTCTACTTTGCAGTTCATTCCAGCTTTTGAGAGATTGGTAAGTAAGGTCCTTTAAGTTTCAGATTTCTGAACTGCATTGGTATTATTTCATTTTATTTTATTTAATTCCAGTATTTTATTTCAGAATCTGTCAGGACCTGCAGCAAAACAACTCCACAAGAAGAGGCACCTACAGAACAAAGATGATTATCGGGAAAGGTTACAGTGCTGCTAACACCAGCAATGGAACAGATCTAGCTATTGGTTTTACTTCTTCTACAGTAGCTGTCCTTCTGTTTGGGACAAACTTTGTGCCTGTTAAGAAGTTTGATACCGGTGATGGTAAACTTTCTTATATTATTTTGTTTGGTTTTCTGTTTTTGCTAATAGGAATAGTATTTTACCAGCGAATATTAGAGTTTCAGTGCTAGAGTTGTAAATATCATCACAGTCTTAATCCAGTAGAATATGTTTAATTTTCTTTGCTGTTGTTAGGGTATAAAGCAGTAGTACTGCTTCAGGATGTGACATCTTTAAAAGAGCTTTTTTACCTGCTGTTGTGTACTTTAACAGTGATGTTGTACACTTCATGAGCATTTCACAATGGAAAGTGCAATGTCCTTTCTTGTACCCTTGTGGGGACTCTCAGATACATACAATGTTATTTCTAAGGTAAAAGCTGTTGGACTTCAGAGAAGTTGCCTTTCAATTGTGGACCAAACATAAACACAGTGGCAAAAATGAAATTTTAATACCTTTATTTGTTGAATTGGTAAGAGGAAACGATCGTTCCTATTTCATGCTTGAAATTTCATCACTCTAGTGGGTTTATGTTATATTTCCATGTTTATATTAAACGTAATGAATTATGAGAACCCTAGATGAATAAATGTTATTGCAATCATAGTATCTGCATTGCAGGCTGGATGTAACCTCTCCTCTTCATGCCAAATATGGCCCTAAAAAGACAAGGCAGGGCTTTAAAGTGAAAGTCTGAGCACAGCTGACATAAAGTTAACCAGTCTGCCTCATTGACCCTTCAAGAATCTACAAAGGAAGAAGAGATCTGTTACTGACCATCATCAGTGTCCTGGATTAGTGGAAAAGCTTGAGCTTTGAAGGACTGTTTCCCTGTGCAGTCATCTATGTTACCAGCTCCTAGGGTTGTGGGAAAAGTTTGCAGCAACTGAATACCCTCTTTGTCAGAAATCTGTCAGAATTTTTGTGTGTTTGAGAATCAGGGCTTGTGTACACTTTGTCCAGGAATGTGTCTTTTGCAGCTGTGTATCAAGGATGCGTGATAAGGAAAAGTTGACAGAATTATAACCCACCTTAAAAATGTATCCTTTGAATATATTGTAACATGGTTCCCTGAAATTCAGAAAGGAGGTGGACACCTTTTTGAATTTTTTCTGATCTGCTGGAAACTTATTATGTTAAGAGATTCATACATGCAGCTTTCTACAGGTTTTCTACTCTGTGCATATGATTTTTCCACAGGCATGTTCTTCCAGTGGATTCTCTGTGCCTCCATATGGATGGTTTCTTTGGTGGTCAATTTGATCCAGAATTGCCCCCGGTTTTGGCCTCTGGCAATGGTTGGAGGCTTTGTTTGGGCCACAGGTGAGGATAAAAAGAATTCCTTATCTTGAAGCACAAAGTAATCCTCTCTCTTCATAAAAAGGTGATAAAAACTTTTCCATATGTAAGGTAGTAGTTATTTAGTAGTTATTTGGGTTTTTTAAGTCTCGGTATTAATGGAGCTGTACCATTATAGTAAATGGTTTTTTATTATGCTTATTTTATAAGAGGCAAATTCACACCAAAAGTGACTTTTAAAATCATATGAAGGCAAAGTCCATGTTCAGTGTATTTATTTTTTAAAACACTGTTTCTTACCACCTTGTGGTTTCCTAAATTTCTTTGCCTTCTGAACAGGCACAAAATCTAAAGCAAATGCATACAAAACCACATTCTATTTTTTAACTGATTTTAGTTTTCTTTTTTTGTATTTCAGGCAATATTACAGTTGTTCCTATTCTTAAAACTGTTGGCTTAGCTCTTGGTCTTTTGATATGGGCTTCTTTTAATTTGCTGACAGGTTGGGCAAGTTCAAGGTAAGTATGCTTAAGTCTTTAGTTGTACATAATTAATGTTGCCCATTCTTCATTAATAACTGCAGTAAAAGCTAACCCCTGTGGAAACATAGAATCGCTTAGGCTGGAAAAGACCTTTAATATCATCAAGTCCAGCCATTAATGTAACACTACCAAGTCTGCCACTAAAGAGGGTTTATCACATATATTAAGATATATTGTTGCTTATATTAAGACTTATCCCCTAATAGTGGAAAGTACTCAAGTTAATTATTTTACCTTTTTATTTTTCCTTTGTCTCAATAGCAAGAAGAGTGTCTAATCATGTTCATTAACTTAATTGAGTCAATAGATAATATAGTTGTTAGTGTAGAACTAGTACACTATATTTTTTCTTTTTCAACATGATCTGATAAAATATGTTAGCTTCAATTTTAAGTGAATTTTCACAGATTTAAAAAATCAATATACAGTAAATTAACATAAAGGTTATTTTTGTTAAGTAGCCATAGCGTTTTGCAAGCCAACTGAAGTACTGATATAATGCTGCAAATATATACTTAAACAGAATTCTAAGATAAGATAAAGAGTCACAAAATATTCTGAGTTGGAAGGGACCCACAAGGATTATTGAGTCCAACTCTTAGGTTAATGACCTTTATAAAGAATCAAACCTACAACCTTGGCATCATTAGCATTAGCATGCTCCAACCAGCTCAGCTAATCTGAGAGGTTTATTTACATGATTCAAGATTTCAAAGACTAGGTTATAATTTAACTATTCATATGAAGTCAGTGCAATTAAGTGAAACTGGTTAAATGTTCCAGGTTTGGTTGGTTTGGAATTGACCCAGAAGAGGTATCAAGACCAATATTAAATTATATTGGAGCTGGACTTTCATTATTAAGGTAACAATTTATTCTTATAATGAATTTCTGTAATGTAAAATGTATATTTAATAATCAACCCCACAGACAATTTAACTAGCAAGTGAATGTATTGAAGTATTTTTTGCAAATCAGTTTAGTGCCAAAATCATGAGGTATCCATACCTAGCTGGTCAGTGTTGTATTTCAGAGTAGGAACATACTTGATACCCAGTACAGTGGGTGGCATGGTTAGCCATAAACACAGAAATATATTTTTAGGCTGGTATACATGTTCAAGGCAAAGCAGGAATTTCCTGATTGCCTCCCGAGCTAGGTTATTGAAATGGTTCACTTCTGCAAATCCTGTGAGAGAGGACAAATTTGACTAGAAGAATCTTGTTGAGAAAACCTCAGATTTATGATCTGATTTCACTCAGTCAAGGGTAAAAACCACAGAAATGCCACAGAACCCTTTCCCTGATACTTTGGGGTCCATGAAAAGCAAGAGGCTTTGCATGTTTTTCTGTCCATAATAACTCCCTGTCTTGTAATTCTAAAACCACCCTTAAAATTTTCAAGCAGTGTCTTCCTTGGGATCTTAAGAGGGGCTTTATTTTTTTTTTCTTTTAGTTGATTATTTGCATGACTGCATACATTTTGGTCCAAACATGGAGGAAAGAGGATCCTTCTTGAGTAGCAGTGATCTTGCTTTCCAACTGGGTTGCCAGGAAGGCGGCCCTAAATCCTAAGGGCTCACCATAAGTGTAGTAAGCAGCAGATGGACGTAATGCCTTTCAGAAAAGAAGGTTATTGAGAACATGGAGATAAGGAAACCGTTTTTGATTGCTAGGAGAGAGCTGCTGCCTTAGATTCGTGACTTTTGTTTCCACTTTCCCTCTTTCCCGAGTATGCAGCTTTGTACCCGTTGCTGTTACATGGGACACATGAGTTTGGGAGGTACTGAGAAAATAGCAGTAGTACTGCTGTTCCTTCCTGGTGAATTCATGCAGCTCACCACCTGCTTCCTGCCTGTTTCTGATATATCATAGAGGAAAGACCAACAAGGAAAAAGATTGTGACCAGACATGTTTTCCTGGCAAACTGCTCAAAAGCCTATGTCTGTTGCTCTGCGGAGTTCAGAAGCAGGCATTTCACTTTAGCCTCCTGGGTGGAACCTGTATATGTTTGTCAAGTCCTTCTGGAGGAAGCTGACATTCTTTTATACTTATACTTACTCATTCAGTAAGAGATGAGTAGTTCAAATGTAGACATTTGGTTTACAGTTTGGAGAAGAAATTCCTAAATCATTAAAATGTTTTTCATAAAAATAAAAAAACAGATCCTACCAGTTATTATTGCATGTATTTACCTGATTTCCTCCAGCCAGCGGTACAAGTAGTAATGTTTCATTTTAATCACTTAATGCACTGGAGCCCCACTGAGCAATACCTCTTCTCCTTCCACATATGCGTGAGGCCTCGTAGCAGCAGTATTTAATCCCTCACATATGATAGAAGTCTAAAAACTAACATTTTTCTGTAATCATAGAGCAAATTCACAGGTTTAAGCTGTTCTGTGTAGAATAAGTAACAGGTGTTCCGTTGCAAGTGTGGTTTGGTACAAAAGGGCACTGTTAACTAAGGCATCTGTTATTAATGTGGCTCTAACTACACACTGTAAAAATGAGACATTTCAATCCCATTGCATAAGAAGAGATATCTATAAAGTAATACAAAACCTGATTTATTTACTTACTTTCACTTAGGTTGTTCGTGAGTTAAATTAATAAATTATAATTATTATATTATGTGTATTTATATATTATATATGTGTGTATATAATCATAATAAGTTATGACTGTTTAAAGCAATTGCATTTTTTTAAATATGTTGAAGTAACTCTAGGGTGATAATGAAAACAATGCCTCAACTTATAACTTTTGTCTCTGAACACTAAATGTTACATCCTTATGAGCTGACATGGTATTTATTGGTGTATTTTTCTCTTCTGAGTGCTGTCATATTTCTTTTTATAAAAACTGAAGTCCAGAGTTCTTCAGCTTCATTAGAAAGCACACCTTTACTGAGAGAAAGTGTAAGTCCTCTACAGTTGTTATTTTACAGCAAAGTACAGATCCATTTAAAAACAAAAGATGTGTTCATTGGTCAGGTTTGCTAGGATTTATGGTAGACTACATGAAACAACATAAATGTGTAATGATTGTATCATTGATTTTATCTTAATTTGTGGATCTTGTATATCCAGTTAAATATTAGCAACAGAAGAGTTTCTTCCCAAGTGTTCTTTCTTGATTGTTAGCTTTGAATAGCTTAGAAAGTCCTTTTTCATTACGATGGAGATATAAAAGACACAGTGTATTACTTTCCTACATGAGAAGAGGAAGCAATTTCAATTAAATGTTTACCATAAAGCTATGATGGTGCTTAGATGAAGGGTCAGATTTTGGGCTGCATTACAGAGCCAGGAGACTGTCAAGAGTTGCTGACTATCACCATCAGCTGTGGCACGGGTTGAAGGCCAGTGGTGGGTACCAGATTGGCTGTCGCTCCTTTGGGAGCCCAAAGTGTGCAACAACTAGGGAACAATAGGCTCCTACTGCTGTTATACCTTACTCTTAGAGATCAGTGCTCAGTTGCTGCCTGAACCCTAGAGTTTTCTAACTATGCTCAGTGCTCACTAGAGGTTCCAGTCTACCAGACTAAATCATAGAAGACAATCTGATTGTAGATTTTAAGAAATTAAACTAAACTAAACTTGCTTGAAAAACTCTTGTTTTTTTGCAGTCAATTAATGTTTCTGAAGATACCTCTGATGACTCATGGGTGAACAGACTTTCACCAGCAAAAAAGAGGCTCATGTAGGTTATTAACAGTTCTTGTTCTGGTACAGACCAAATAGCCAGAGAAAGTAGTTGAACACAGCATTAGAGCAGAATTTGTGTCCTGTGGTTTTCCTAGCCAAGTCACACAATAAATAAATAAATAATTAAATATACTAGTATAGTGTGCAAATCTATGTATGAATAATTGCGCAAATATTTAGATTATTTCCTTGACTGACATTGTTGACTGTGCTTAACCTTACCAATTAAGCAAAGCATTAGGCGCTACTATGAAAAAAGATCATCTGTCAAACTAAATAGCAATATCAACTAATTACAGAGCTGGTTTTTGTCACCTGGTTCATTAGCACTGTAGCATAGAAGAAGCCTGTTCTAATGACATGCTTCCAGGTGTGGTTTCTGGTTAAATACATCTGGAGAAGGCATGGCACTATGGTAAGGAGACAGTAGAAGTGCTCCAATGAAGAAGGGGACTTAAGAGGCAATGAATCTGGGAATAGTGATAAAGAATGTATAGACTCAACAGTGAAGCTGAGGATGGGAGCATTTTTAAATATATATTTATTTGGTCTTCCCTAGCTTTGCTTTTAGGAAATTGTAGTTAGTTAATTTCCCATGTCATTAATCTAGACTGCTCGCTCTTGCGGCAGGAATTTTCCACATTACTTGGCCACAAAGTATAGGGAAACTCAGGGAACCATTGCTACACTACACTGAAAATAAAAATGTACTACAATGTATTATCTTTATACCTAGCAATTTTCACATGGTGCACAGTGTTTAAGTGCAGTACTGGGTGCTTAAGTGTGTTGTCTACTTCGTTAATTTATGCTAGGCTATTTTCTCCAATTTTTGCTCTTTTTGAAGAGGCTGTAGCCTGGCTGTAGTAGCTGGAATACTGTACGGTTCCAGTTTTGTACCAGTACTGTACATCAAGGACCATGGAAGAAGAAATGGAACTATATACACAGGAGCAAGTCAGTTTGGTAAAGGCTAATAGATTACTTCTGCTTTATTTCATCATTGTGTTTGCCTGCTTTTTCAAAGGCGTGGGGTGGAATTCTTCATATGCGTGGAAATATATCATGACAATTTATCGGTTCTGCATTACATTATATGTTGTCATAATCATAGTCCTAGCACCCCCTTTTTCTCGGAGGTAAATTACACCATCAAAAACAGTGAGAAGCATCCCAAAGGCTACCATACTTAACTCATAGCCATGTTCCAGAAGGCATTAAGTACTAGCACTCTCAAAATACAAAGTTTATATGCGTGGAGGATGAGGTGAACAAGGGCACAAGCTTGCCAATTGCCAAATTAGTACACCAGTTAAGGAAGAGAATAACTGATAAGTGGAGCAGAATATAACAATGTAAATAATTAAAACCGTGTAGATTTTTTTAATGGAAACCTTTTAACACAAGCCTAATTGCCAATTTCAAACAAAATTTCCCTGAAAACGTCTTCCTTAAGGTTTGGATTATACTCTGTCAGGTAATACCAGCAGCAGCTTAAGAGCAAAGTATTGCTGTCCTAAGACATACAATTTCTCTTGAATACTGCAGTTTATGAATATTTATATATTCTCCACCTAGGCAAAACAGATGTTGTCATTACTATAGCTGCCTTTCCTGTTGAGAATTTACAGCTCCAGGGAGACAGGGATCACCTTGTTACATGCTTCTGCTTTGCCATGTTGGAAATACTCTTTTTAGCACATACAAAGTCCATACAAGATTTATTATTGTTAGTGATTATGGTAATCAAAATTTTGATACATTCTTCAAGATTAAAAAAGGACAAAACTGAGCCACATTTAACTTACATAATATGTGCAGTTTTCGTGCCCTTAAAAGTACAGGAAAGAAACAAAGGCTATATACAGGAACTCAGTTGTGATGGTCAGGAGAGGACATAATTATGTAAAATCCCCACCCGAGTTTCGTAGCCTTCCTTGAGGATTTTTCCAAGGTTTTATTAAATGAATGAAGTCATATGTAGTAGAGTTCCAAAAATAACAACTCACAGAAATGCAGAGAAAGCTGTAATAAATGCTGAAGTCAACACAGCAGTTAATTCACATTTAAAATGTGTCTTTGACCATATCCATCCACAGTCAGACTGGCAGATTTGAATTTGAGTTGTTAGGAGTAGCACTTCATGCTTTTTTTGTCTCTATGAATGCTATCAGTGAAATTAATTTTGTTGAAATTAATAACTGATGTTGTATACTAACATAATTTTGTCATTTCTCTTTCAGATTTAGATTATGTTTTTGCACACTTCAGTGGAATATTTCTTACAAGTACCATCTACTTTTTGATCTACTGTGCAGTCAGGAAAAATAAACCTAATGTTTATCCCCAAGCCATATTGCCAGGTATGACTGTTTTTTAAATTAGGAAAGCATTTCAATTACTTATTCTGACCATTTTCCAGTAAGTAGTCCAAGCTACATGTTGGAATTGTAGTTTGCCTTTCAAGTGGCTCCATTTGACTTTTTGTCTCTTTTGACAGAGCACTCCTATTAGGTTAATTAAATAACAATGATAAATTTTATTCTAATCTGACACTAGAACAAAATGACATTGCAGATTTTCAAAAACTGACTGCCAAATTGAAGAGCACAGTGCCCAGAAAATTGTGAACTTAAATTACTTTGCTACTTCAGAGTAGCTGATTTTTATCCTTTGAGTTTTCGTTTAGATTACCAGAACCAGCTTGTTAAAGCAGTTATCATACTAAAATATATATCTACAATTTCTGTATTATGTTATAAGTATAAATTCTCCACAAATTGCTGTCTACACCTTGCTATGCATGTTTTTGATTAGGGTTTATTTTCCTAGGGTTTCTTTCTGGTGTGCTTTGGGCGATAGCCAATTGCTGCTGGTTCATAGCCAATCACTATCTCAGTGCTGTCGTCAGCTTTCCAATAATTACTGCAGTAAGTATATAAAAAATAAAATACGTAATGGAATGAAAAGTAAATGGTTTTTTTTACCCTTCTCTTTGTGAAATTAAGTTGAAATTATGATGGATCTAGAACATTTTTAGTCAAGAGTATATATTACCTTCTCTGCTTGTCTGTGCTAGTTTGGGGATTTTTAGGAACATAAAGAACCATGACAAGCACCATCTTGGTCAATTCCAAGCATTAGAAAAAGCAGAAGAATTAAGAGTGTGGGTCTTTAGGTTACATAAAAGCCAAGTCTCTGGAACCAGAATTATATCAACATTAACTATTTAACCAAAGTGATTAAAAGAAGAAATATTTTATGTTTTCATCCCAGAGAGTACATTTTGGTCTGAATGTTTTAATTTGTGAGTTTTATCCCCTAGCAGTAATTTTACTTAATTAAGTCAGGTATTTTTTTTTTTACCATTCTTGAACAAACAGAACAGATTATGTACTGCTGGAAAATAATGTTCTTATGCAAATGAGAGGAAAATAGGTTGGCCTGCTCTGCCTGTTTTATTCTTATTTATGATACTTTAAAGCATAAATTCTATCACCAGGTAAAAGTAAACTTTGCCTTCACTCTCTCGCCAGTGTGCTAGTTGGTGATGCAAAGGTGGCAAATGAGATTTAACAAATATCAAAACCAAAGTTTTGCCCAACAGCAGTATTTGGGAATCAAACTAATGAAACATCTTTAATAGGGATTAAGTTTTGCCTCAAGATGCAGTAAATCCAAGTAAACTCTGCAATATGCAATGGAAAAAAAAGACTTGCTATAATTCTAATTAGAAATTGAAGGATTAATGGAAAGCAACTTTAGTAACTTAGTTATCAGTATGCCTAAAGGGCAAGCATATAAAATCACAAAATTAAAAACATACAGACAGCAGTGATGAGAAACTGCCTGTTTGGACCACAGAACTGCTGCTTTACTTCCCCCTGGAGAGAATTTCAAGAGCTATTCATCACAGCCATTTAACAATTTGTTTCATTTTTAAAAATGCATTCCTCTTGCAGTGTACTTTACCTAGGAAGTGAAATAATACCTCAAATTTCGCTAGGAAACAGTACCCACACATACATTCAGCATGAGGCACCATTGCTTGCTGGTCTATATGTGTGTCCCATCAGCTGCACTGAGGATGGAGAGAGGAAGGTCCTTGTCCAATCATCTGTCAAGTGTTTCTCAGAGCAGCTCTAATGGGAAGCATTAACAGAGCCAGGTTTTGCTTCACATTCAGATGTTTTCTCATCAGACATGAAAATTCAGATCCTTGCTCCCTCAGGGGAAAAAGTGTCTTACCAAGAGTGCCTGGAAGTTGCCGTTGTATATCACTGTTTGCACTGTTTGCTGTATATCACTGTTTAGCCAGGAAATCTGTACAGCATCATCACCAATAATCAGTAGTTTTCCTGACCTGTCTCTGGCTGGCTTTGTGTGTTGTCCAGATGCCAGCTATAGAGAAAATACATCTATGTTCCAGCCTCTTAATACCATTTTGAGTGATAAAATCAGACCTTGTCCAAACAGTTAGTCATGCTAATAAAGGAAATGTTAGGAATATCCATGGTAGTTGCCAATAAACCTGAAAAGTCCTTTGAAACAAGGTAACATGGTGGACTCAAGTTTGGACTAAAGTGAGGCATATTATTTGAACCTACTGAAAGAACACAGAACAGCCAGGGCAGACTCCACAGTGTAATTTAGAAAGAAATTGTGCCTTCTCAAAAAAAAAAAAAAAAAAAAAAAAGGCAATCTCTTGCCTCTTTAGTCCTTCCTGAAAATTTTACTGTGTCTTACGTAGTAAAGATTTCGGTGATGTTTATGCTTTAGTCATGAGCGCTTTACTTAGATGGAATGGAAAGGCCTAAATGTGTTATCCAGACAAAATTCAACCACCCTGAGAGCAGTTATGAGAAGGTGGTAAATTTCAATGAAGTGCTGTAATGTACAAATTAATCCTACTTTTAGGGGCCTGGCCTGGTTGCTGCAATGTGGGGAGTCCTTGTATTTAAAGAAATCAAGGTAATGTTATTGGGTCTCTTGCCCAAGCTCTCTTACTTGTCTCTAACTCTGGAAATAGTATGATTTGATATACAGCTGTATCTCAGATTTCTCCTCCTTACAAGTATTGCGTTATGAAGCTGAAAGTCATATCATGCACTGCTTAAGTTTTCCAAGAAACATGAAGAACTGTGAACAATTTTTACAGGAATGAAGATTTTAATTCCATAACTGTATGAGCAGCAGTGGATGTAAGTGAAGACTGTAGCATAACCAGGAGGTTTGATGCCAGGCACAACCTGAAGACAGTTTTCACTTGAGTCGACTCTTTCAGTGAGGGTGGAGGGAATGAGTAGTTGTCCTAATAACCATGTAGACAGGTAGAGTGGACTTTAAGGGTCAGATTCAACAAAAGACTAAAAAATGCAACAGAGGTTAGTTGGTCTTAATAATTACAGTATAATGTAAAGACCCTAAACTGATATGGCAGTGATTGCCTAGAACAAGCTGATTTACTCTGCTGGATATTAACATATTGAACCATTTTGAACTGGTCTGAACCAGTTTGAACTGGTCTGAACTGGTTTGAGCTGGTCTGAACCAGTTTGAACTGGTCTAAACCAGTTTGAACCGGTCTGACCTGGTCTAAAGCGGTCTGAACCAGTTGGAACCAGTTGGAACCGGTCTAAACTGGTTTGAACCAGTTGGAACCAGTCTAAACCGGTTTGAACCAGTTGGAACCGGTTTAAACCAGTCTAAACTGGTCTGAACCGGTTTGAACCTGTTTGAACTGCTCTGAACCAAATTAAACCGGTCTAAGCCGGTCTGAACCAGTCTAAAGTGGTCTGAACCGATTAAAACTGGTCTGAACCAGTTGGAACCGGTTTAAACCAGTCAGAACCGGTTTGACCTGGTCTGAACCAGTTTTAACTGGTTTGAACCGGTCTAAACCAGTTTGAACCGGTCTAAACCAGTTGGAACCTGTCTAAACCGGTTGGAACCTGTCTAAACCAGTTGGAACCGGTTTGAACCGGTCTAAACTGGTCTGAACCGGTTTGAACCAGTCTGAACTGCTCTGAGCTGGTTTAAACCGGTCTGAACCGGTCTAAACCAGTTTGAACTGGGCTTAACCGGTTTGAACCAATCTGAACCGGTCTAAACCAGTTTGAACCAGTCTAAAGCAGTCTAAACTGGTCTTAACCGGTTAAAACCGGTTTGAATCAGTCTGAACCGGTCTAAACCAGTTTGAACCTGTCTAAGCCAGTTTGAACTGGTTTGAACCAGTTGGAACTGGTCTAAACTGGTTTGAACCAGTCCAAACCAGTCTGAACCGGTCTAAACCAGTTTGAACCGGTCTAAAGCGGTCTGAACCGGTTTAAACCGGTCTAAGCTGGTCTGAACCAGTTTGAACTGGTTTGAACCGGTCTAAACCAGTTTGAACTGGTCTAAACCGGTTTGAACCTGTCTGAACTGGTTTAAACCAGTCTCAGCCGGTCTGAACTGGTTTGAACCGGTCTAAACCAGTTTGAACAGATCTGAACCTGTTTTAACTAGTCTGAACCAGTTACTTTGCTGGTGGAATTTCAAGCATTGAATGCTAGCAGTGTAATACCAGGTTTTTGTAGCTAATATGTCCAGGATCCATGGGTACCTAACTTGCTATTAGAGATCATCTTTCCCAATGTTTTTGGTGACTGTGTAAAACGAGTTAGGCCTCATTGGGTCTACAACTAGAAGTTCTGTGCCTTCCACTACAAATTGGTGTTGCACCACACGAGAAGATCATCATCTAGATCTTTGTAACTTTCCAGATCATCCATTCTTTTCACACATTTTTGAACAGTCTCTGCATAAGTGCTTACTGCTTAAAATAATCTGAAAAATAGACAAAATTTAAAAATATAGTAAATTTATTAATTTTGTCATAAAATGAAACCTGAGTTCTTTTTTTTTTGTTTTTTTTCAAGGGGTATCAATTATGGCAATATGATATTTTTCTTTTTCTCTCCCTTTTCCTATACAGGGACTGAAAAACTACGTGTTACTGTCATTATCGTTTTGCATCATTTTGGCTGGATCGCTTTCCACAGCTTTTTCTAAAGTTTGAAAGGACCTTCTGGACCAGTAGATGGTGCTAATGTTTAACACAAATAGAAAGACAATGTTGGTAGATTTGCAATACATAATAATTTTCAACATGTATGTCTAACATTTACCCTAACTTGCTTCAGGCAAGTGAAGATTAAAACCATTTGGCATGAAAGAAAATATGGAAATGTTTGTTTCTCTATTTCTTTGAATAGTAAGAATGTCAAAAGATTTTATTAAATAAAGCTAAATGATTTTATAATTACAAATTATTTTTTCTAGTACTAAACTTCATGTCATCATAAATTGCAGTTTATTATTGTGGTGGTAGATAAAGGGAGTATAATTCATAGTCTGTAATACTGTATGTATTTGCAAGCTGAATTGTTTTGACATTTTGTCTTACTAACTGAAATATAAAATATGTCTTGAAATATTCTTTATGGAGCTGATACACATGAAGCTAACAAAGCTTTTATTTAGAAACATTATTCTTTAAAGTCATCAGTTTACATAAAAATGTTATCTTCCAGTCACTTTAGGATTGTGGAGGAGATGGAGTAAAAAAGGTGCTGAAAAATAAATCACTTTTGTTTCACAACATTTTCCATAACCACCACTATCATGGAAAACAGTTTATTTTCTTATTTGTGGCAGCTAACCTTTATATATGCAAAGCATGTTGTCTGAACCTCTCCTTACAGAATCACTGAATCATCTGCGTTGGAAAACACTTCTGAGATCATTGAGTCAAATATGACCGAACACCACCTTGTCAACCAGACCGTGGCACTAAGTGCTACATCCAGTCAGTTCTTAAACACCTCCAGAGACGGTAACTCCACCACCTCCCTGGGCAGCCCGTTCCAATGTCCAGTCGCTCTTTCTGTGAAGAACTTCTTCCCGATATCCAACCTAAACCAGCCCTGGCACAGCTTAAGACCATCCCCACTTGTCCTACTGCCAGTTGCCTGGGAGAAGAGAGCGACGCCCACCTGGCTGCAACCTCCTTTCAGGCAGTTGTAGAGAGTGATGAGGTTTCCCCTGAGCCTCCTCCTCTCCAGGCTAAAAATCACCTCCAGCTCCCTAAGCCACACCTCACAGAACTTGTGCTACAGACCCTTCACCAGCCTTGTTGCCCTTCTTTGGACACTCTCCAGCACCTCAACATCCTTCCTGAATTGAGAGGCCCAAAACCGGACACAGTACTTGAGGTGCAGCCTCAGCAGTGCCAAATACAGGGGAATAATCACTTCCCTGGTGCTACTAGCCATACTTTTCCTAATAAGGCCAAGATTCCATTGGCCTTCTTGGCCACCTGGGCACACTGCTGGCTCATGTTCAGCCTCTTGTCAATGAGGACCCCCGTGTTCTTTTCTGCTCGGCTGCTCTCCAGCCAATCTGTCCCCAACCTGTAGTGCTTCATGGGATTGTTGTGGCCAAAGTACAGGATGAGGCACTTCGCCTTGTTGAACTCATACTGCTAGATTTGGCCCATCTATCCAGCCTGTCCAGGTCCCTCTGCAGAGCCCTCCTGCCTTTGAGCTGATTGACACTCCACCCCAGCTTGGTGACATCTGCAAATTTGCTAATGGTGGATTCAATTCCCTCATCCAGATCATCAGTGAAGATGTTAAACAGGACTGGGCCCAGCACTGATCCTTGGGGGACGCCACTAGTGACTGGCTGCCAACTGGATGCAGCCCCGTTCACCAGCACTCTCTGGGCTTGGCCCTTCAGCCAGTTCTTAACCCAGCACAGAGTGCACCTGGGCTGCCAGCTTTTCCAGGAGTATGCTGTGGGAGACAGTGTCAAAGGCTTTGCTGAAGTCCAGATAGACCACATCCACAGCCTTCCCCTCACCCACCCTAAGTGGGTCACCTGGTCATAAATGGAGATCAGGTTGGTCAGGCAGGACCTGCCCCTTCAAAATCCATGCTGGCTGGGTCTGATGCCCCATCTGTCCTGTAGGTATGTTGTGTTATTGCACCCAAGATGGTCTGTTCCATAACCAGGCACCGAGGTCACGCTGACAGGCCTGTAGTTTCCCTTATCCTCCTTCCAGCCCTTCTTTTGTATGGGCATCACATGGCCAACTTCCAGTCATCTGGGACCTCCCCAGTGAGCCAGGGCTGATGATAAATGATGGAGAGCAGCTTGGCGAGCTCTTCTGCCAGCTCCATTGTCACACTAGGATGGATCCCATCTGGTCCCATAGACTTGTAAGGGTCCAAGTGGCTCAACAGGTCACTGACTTTTTCCTCCTGAATTACGGGAGGGGCTATTCTGTCCCTGTCTACCAGCTCCAGAGGCCAGTTGTCCTGTCATACTGTTGAACACTGAGGCAAAGAGGGTGTTAAGTACCTCAGCCTTTTCCTTGTCTTTGGTAACTGTATTCCCCCCTGCATCCAATGAAGGAGGTTTTCCTTGTGCCTTTTTTTGTCATTAATGTATTTATAAAAACACTTTTTATTATCCTTTTCAGAAGTGGCCAGATTAAGTTCAAATTGTGCTTTCACCCTCTAATTTTCTTCCTGCATGACCTGACAAGAGCCTTAAACATTTCCTGAGTTGCCTGTCCTTTTTTCCAAAGTTGATAAACCCTCATTTTTCCCCTGAGTTCCTGCAAAACTTAGAGTCTTAAGTCTTTTCTTCAGTATATGAGACAACCCAAGCTCCTGCTGTCTTCCCTTGTGTGTAACATGCTCACAACTTCTCTTTCCTTTCTGATAATAGCATCTGCCATGGACAGAGACACCTTTCACTAGACCAAGTTGCTCAGGGCCCCAACCTGGCCATGAACACTTCCAGGGATGGGACATCCACAACTTCTCTGGGTAGCCCCTTCCAGTGCATCAACACCATCTGAGTCAAGAATTTCTTGTTAACATCTAATCTAAACCTGCCCTCTTTCAATTTAAAACCATTTCCCCTTGTTCTGTCATTATCTGCCCATATGAAAAGTCCATTTCTTCCTTTTTATACACCCCCTTAAGCTTCTGGAAGGATGCAATGAGGCCTCCCTCATGCATTCTCCATGCTGATCTCTCTCTAAGTGAACTAGAACTGTCTAGAAAATCAAGACATGGCAGTCAGGCAACAGTCTTGGAAAAACAAAGAAGACCAACAGTAAGATTATGGAGTTTTCTCCCCATCCAATTCACAAGCTCTGTTTATGGTTATACATCCTAGTATTACACATTCTATGTTACATATGACACTCTTTGCCATCACGTCTTGATATTGTTAACATGTTCAGATTGCAATTATAATTTCTGCTTTCTCCCTTCCAGCCTTCTTTTTCTACTCTGTAACAGGTTTGATCTTAAACAACTGTTACTTAACCTGCTTTTTCCCATCTTGTGTTGTTTATTCCTACCCAAGTGTCAGTACTTGTTGTCTGACAAGTTTTTTCCCCTTTAAGCCATTTCTCTAATTTTGGGCTGTATGTTAAATCTGTCCTTCAGCAAATCAGCAGTATTTTTCAGCCAGATGTTGTCTGCAAATGTAATAAACATACTCTAATTGTTGTAAATAATTAATGAAAATGCTGCACGATACTGGCCTTTACTTACTTTTTATTGGAGTCTAATACGTCTTTTCACTCTGATAGGGAACAATTGATTACCCTATCCCTCTGCACAGTTTCCCTCTGTCTTAGAATGATTTTATTTAGACTACTTTCTCTGAGCTTTTACATAACATCTGTAGTGGGTTGACCTTGGCTGAATGCCAGGTGCCTGCCAAGCTACTCTATCACTCCCCTTCCCAGCTGGACAGGGGAGAGAGAATAAGGTGGAAAATGACTTGTAGGTTGCGATAAGGCAGTTTACTAAAGCAAAGGCAAAAGTTTGCGTGCACACAAGCAAAGAGGAAAATAATGAGGTTTATTCTCTACTTCCTGTCAGCAAGTGGTGTTTGGTTTTTTTCCTGGGATGGAGGGCTTCAGCACCTGTAACAGTTGCTCCAGGATGCAAACACTGTAAATAATGAATACCCCCCACCTTTCCTTCTCCCCTTAGCTTTTATATCTGAGCTGATGTCTTAAGGTATGTTATATCCTTTTGGTTAGTTTGTCTGAACAGGACCAAGAGCTACTGCATGAGCTATTTCCTGTTTGATTTCCTCAGAGTCAAAAGGTCTGGCCATACAAACCCAATACACATCTGATAGAGTTGTTCAAGGCAAGGTACAAGATGTGTTCCACCCTAACACCTGGTATTGTACAGAGAACTGGTCATTTCTGTGTCCAGTGTTCAGGTCTGGCACAATTTCTCTTTGACAGATTCTTGACTGTTACTTACCTAGCCTTTATTCTATTGGCTCAGACAAGAAAAAGTAATATGTTCACATGTTTTTTAAATAACTTGAATTAAATTGGACATTTCTTAACTTCCCTGGATCTGTTTCCTTTCTTAAAGATCACAGTCTTAAAGGTTCCCTTCATAAATATTACTGGAATATACTCCATGCCAGAAAGTGGCCAATAGACAGAATTGGCAAAACCAAAATGCAGTATTCTCAGACTCCTATAATTTACAGATCTGCTTTAATATGGCAGTTCTTCCCAGTCGGGATTATTTTTTATTCCCATGTCCCTATTCAGAGTTGTGTTAACCCTGGCTGTGCTCTGTTTAAGTAAGGCTGAAGGAACAAGGGTGCTGTTCACTCTAGTTTACAATGTCACTGTGGAATAGGGGCACATTATTTCTGATTTCCACACAGGTACTGACAAAAGTACTACACTTGTAACTCACTATTGTGCCAAAATATTTACAACGCAATACAATACTTATGAAGATAGTGTGATTATAGCACCAGTTCACTTCGATATACCAGTGCAGCAGCTCAGGGAGGATCATCTGTTTAGTTTACTACTACCTGTAGATCATCTTTCACCTTTGGTTAAAGTCTGCAAGTACAGTCTATTCAGTGAGGCATACTCATCACTCATTTATGTTTAGTAAATTAATAATGCCTCAGTCCTGCTCCCTGGGAGGTGACAAAGGTAGAAGCAGGAGAACCTGCCTTGGACAAGCAGGCAACAGCAGCAGGGCAGAGAGGCAGGTCCCAGCTCCTCCCGGCCCCTGTTACCTCCCCAGCCTCACCAGTTGGAAGCCCCTGCTCTCAGTGAACAGAGGACTCTCCACAAGAAATGACCTTCCTGCTTCAGGTGGGCA